GGATAAACAAATCTAATTTAGCTAAGACAAAACACGAAAGAGAAACGAATAGAAAAAATCATTATAAGAAAAAAAAATCACAATGAACTCTTGGTAGCTTTGTTTAAAAAAATTTGTTTTGCTATATATTGTTATATTTTATTCATAAGCTTTGTTTAAATGTTCATGTTGTATTGTGTTACATATTATTGTCATTAACAACAATAATAGTTGTTATAAACAATTTTGGTGTTTGTAGCTATACGGAATCCACACCCCCCAGGGACGGTTGTGACACTCGTCCTTTTCTAATATAATAATCTAGTATTTTAATGAACGTTTATAGATAAGTGTTTTATTTGGAATATTCAATCTAATACAAATACTATGACTTTCAATTTAATTCCCAAAATATAAAAAGGTAAATAATTTAGTTTAGTGCTTTATCTGCTATTTTAGTGATCATTCACTCTCGATGAAAGGATTCCAGGAGTCTTTTCCTGAATATGTAAGATATTCTGCCCAGATACCTTTTATATCATTTTACAGTAGTGATGAATACCGATGCACATACATATCTGGCACTGTACGTACGTCCGTATTGTGTTAACACAGCGGATGAAGAGAGAAAGTGAATCCTTGACCCACATCGCGATCCAGTCAGCCCGTGTGCGGAGTAGTGTACTAATGCTGTATTTGCTGTTTATTGTATGTTTGCACTGTGATATACAGGCACAGAACCGCTGTCTTATATTAAACATGCCACATCACAAACGATTATTCGCCTAAATGACCTGTAACATCTTCATATGGTCGCTGCACGAAAGTAATATTTTTGTGAAGATTTGTCGTGTGGTATATTTCCGACAATTTCACTATTTCGTTTCGCTTTCCGCATGTCGCATTACCCGTTGGAAATTAACATGATTCACATAGTAAAAATATCAAGAATTAACTTAGGCAAATCTATCCTTTACTTCAGCACGGAAATCAACTAAAAAGTGCTGCTGAAACATTATTAAAAAAATTTATACAACTGATATTAATTGTTTATATCTATATCAACCCTTTCTACTCGGATGCCGCGGCTTATAACTAACTAACTATAAGTCATAACTTCTATATACTTCAATAGTGTAACAAGCAAGGTAATTAGGAAAAATATTCTTAGGTAATTTTTAAAATATCTCATTACCTAATTCCCTAATACTTAAGCGCAATTTGTTGAATACCATAATACCCTGTCCATCCAAAATATTAAATGAGTTTAATATACTATTTACGTTAAGGGGCACAACTAGTGTGAAATTTTCAAAAAATCAACTTTGAGTCACAGCCATTTAAAGAGTATATATATAGTATACAGTATACCGATAATTTTATCTTTTGGACGCGTTTTTCTCGAAACAGCATTTTTCGAATTTGCTGCAGTGATTACACAAAAACAAATGATCCGATCACTATCAAATTTTATTCACATGTTTTATATATAGTTCTCCGTAAAATGAACTCTCGATTTTTTGATCGGATCAAAAACCGAATTTTGGCAGTCGAAAAACGACCAAAATTTTGGGTAAAATTCGACTTTTTTTAAAAAACGCCGCCATTTTGTCAATTTTTGATTTATTTTTTTATCATAGTTCATTTTACAGACAATATTATCTAGTTTAACGACAATTTTTTTTTGATTTCATCCACGTAAAAGGCCGCAATCACTGCAGCAGTTAAGGGCCTTTTTTGTCGCGCCGTTGGAGATCGACGATAACTTAAAAAATATTTAATTTTTTTCTTACTATGTATTTTTAAAACATGTATAAATATTTTCCTAAAATTTTTAAATGATTGATAAAGTAGTTTTTTAATATAAATTCCCAAAAATCACATTTTTTTAGGCGGTTACACTAGTTGTGCCCCTTAAATGAGTTTGATATACTTATTTTCATTAAATTATGTGGACTTTAAAATTGTTTTTTTTTTAAATTAATAACTTTTTGTGTTAGTAAATAATTCAAATTTAAAAAGTATCTAGTTGCTTATTTTTACGTATATTTGAATATATGTACTCGTACCTTTTGTTTTCATATCTATAATGCGCTGAGCGTCTTATTCGCACCTGTGCTAAGTGCCGAAAACAAACAGCTCCATAAAAAACGAACGTGGTCTCGTAGTCTATGAAGTAACAACTCGAAATACTAAATGTATTGTACATTGCACAATATTATTTCTCCTGCCACTTCATTGCCGGTGTGAATTGTTACCCAAAAGTATTACACGTACATAAGTACTCTTGAACAAATGATGTTCTATTCGTTGAAGAATAAAGTTTGAAAATTATAATTGTGGAAAAATATTTATGAGTGAAATATTTTTTTATCATCTATTTTTATTTAGCATTAATTATTATATAGTAATGAATAATTTTGTTAAATGAAACTAACTCTAATATAAAATATTAATTGTCCCTTGGTTTATCCAAAAAAGCTGTCTTCGAAATCTTTGTTTACTTTCTCGAAAAGCGTATTTCATTTTCATTTCTATCCACTGGAGGGATGCTATCAGAGGTGTGGCCAAGATAACATAACGCTTAAGGGTAGCGCATTTTTTCTCCAACAATGTTTGAGATTTGAACAACACGTACATTTTGCTTGGGGTTGGTTGTTAAGGAAGGCGTGGTGAGTCTAGTCGTATCGATCCCGCCCCATCAGCTCGAGTATGAGACGGGCGAGCACCAACTCGGAGCTTTCGGGGGTGAGATTTTATGTGTCGTGAACATAGATGGGTTCACTGTTCCTTCATAAAACCCGTCTGGGTCAGGTGCACGAGTACCGAAAGGACGCGAGCCGTTTTAAATACCGTGAAGCGAATGCTTTATTATGGTAATCGCTGTTCAGGTACTCTCTTTGCATAAAGGCTAATCATACTTGAACGAAAAAAATAATAATGTAAAATAATGTAGTCTGTTAAAACTAAAGACTGCCGTGTTTAACGAGCGATGCATGAATGAAAACAAGAGGAAAGAAATTAAATATTGTCAGAACCCAAAGATAAAGGTAGCATTGTATATGAAGCAATAAATAATTTACAAAAATGTGTGAAACTTATTGCGTTAGAATAACTGTTTTTTACCTATTGAAAATATTGATGACAAATCCCGCTTAATTATCAGGTTTCAAATTATGATTAATTACGTATTAACATCGTTTCACTACAAACTGGTTCGCATGTAATCGAAGGATAAATAAAGCAATTTTAATTCATTTGAAGCACGTAAACACGGATCCAGATAATCGAATTGCAATTATAAATTTGTAACGAGAAAAATATAAAATATATTTTTATTTCTGGTAGATAAGTAACATGGTATCTATTATTATTAAATGCATTGCGTAAATACAGTGCATTGCTCCTTTTTAATTAGTTTCATATAGGTTATCAATATTATCTGAATTAATTGTATAAACAGTGTATATTGATTATTTTAAATAATATATATATATATATATATATACAATAGTTTTTATTATTATGCTTCATATTTCATAAAAGCAATCTTAATGATTGGGAATTCCCGACAATTAACTCAGTCTATAGATACATATCTAGATCTATAGCTCAAGTTATTTTGAGTTAAAAATAAACTAATTGTAAAAGTATTTTCCCTTAATTTTAAATTTTCACAAAGCTTTATCAATGAACTCAACTAAAGTAATTAATTTTATAATACTTAATAATCATAGTAATAATTTAGCTTGTTTGTTACAAACAGTTATGAATATTCTATATTATTTTTTTTTCAAGTTTCTTTAACCCTACACGCATTCATCTGCCTGTCAATAATAACATTTCGTATATATGTCACCTTGAAACATCAACGGAAAAATTGTTCGATCATTTATCGTCGGCTCTAATCAAACGCAAAAAAGTAAATAACGAAAACGATTGCACAAAACTTTTTCTATACGGACTACTCAGTATCGGCTATTTTTTATTTTATTTACGTCTGTCTGCAGGCAATAAAAGGTGATATGTTCCCGTTGATAAAATTTATTTATGAAAGAGCATATCGCGCAATTTTGCTAATGCATCATGGATTTTTTTTATGAAAACATAATCTAGTTCGATAATTCGCATTCATCATTATTTCCTTATGTATATGAGACGAAACTTCAAAATTTGGAAAAAATATCAACAGATCACCACGCAAATTTTATTTTTAATTTAATATATAGAGGAAAAGCAATTATCATTCATAATTAATACTTATTATTATGACATCGATCGATTTTAAAGGTCAGAAGTGTTATCTTAGGATCTGAACGTCAAAAAGGTATAAAAGAATTCTATAAAATGAATTTCGAAGTTGAATTTGTGAATCTGGAATAAATAAGAGTTATCTTTAAAATGATTATGTTACACTTTTAATGATGTATTATGTATTTATTGTTATTTTGATATTACTAATATTGAAAATGCTCGGTTAGCTAATTGTACAATTTTATTTAGAAAGCGTTCAGCCGTTCAGACACTTATTTTTGCGTTCTAAGAACAAAACTATCTTGTCTTTGTGAATAGTATCAAGTTTATCGGCACGTGCCTGTATTTTTATTTCATTAACAGTCGAGCACATACAAATTATATACATAAACTATATTTGATCCGACATCAGCGTAATGTGATCATATGATAAGTCATACAGCGTTTATCTATGAGAGCTGACCATGTCATTTCCTGGATGGTACTTATTCATTTGAATATCAACGAACTCTTCAAATATTAACGTAATATTGTTATAAGACATTTACTGTTTAAATAAGTATCGCCGATATGGACTTCCGGTGATTTTCATATTTCAGATTAGTCAAAGAATTTGATGCAATGTTTGGTTTTGTCTCGGTCTCAAATTGATATACAATAGCAATTTGAAATTTAATCTACTGGTTAAGAATTTTAAACTTACCAGTTGTTTTTGTTCATATTTTTTTGAAAATATATTATATTAAAATTATTTCATTTGTCCACAGTTGATACAGAGTTGCCAATTCACCCGCTTTCCACCGGTTCTCCTTCACCGCCGCCTGTGTCAGCGCACCATCACAATGGTGGTTTGAGTTTACACAGCAACCACCATCCGCAGACTGGTCACCATTCGTCTGCGGCGAATGGCATCTCTCATCATCAGCAACACCCGCAACATCAGCATGCTGGGTCATCAGCAGCGCTGCATCATGGACAACCAGGTCACCACACAGGACGGGCGGCTTTGCTGCATAATATACTAAGTGCGGCGGCTTTAGGACAGCACGCACTTAGGCCGTATAGCACGGGGTCCACAGGTGAGATAATAATAATGATAATAAATGGTAGTCTGCTTGAAGGCAGGTCCATGGTGCAAGAGCCACTACAAATAAATGAATCCCTTGCCCTCGTCGTCGTCTCTCAGTCCAAGTACCTCTCTCACGCCCCTTTTACACATTTTTTTAATTAGAAGAGCTTATTTAATTTGGAATTTGAGATTAGTTAACCACATCTTCATCAACCTGAAGTTAAAGAATAATTTCTAAATATATTATAATATATAAAATTATTCATATAATAGAGATATAAAAATTCGAAATTTATCTAAAATTTGTAATATATTTTATATGTATGATTTTAATTTCTGTGATATTATCGAAATAGTTATTTGCATCTTTCTCTTCATATATTTTCAATCAGAAAAATAAATAAGTATTACGTTATAATTTACCATAGAATGTCATGCACATCTGTCGGTCTTTTATAAAAATGATTGGTCCATTGTCCAAATGCAAGCTGCAAGTGTTTACGTCAAAGTATTGAAATTCTAACCCTTATACCTAAACCATTGGTAAATCCATTTCTCTCAATCACAAAATCCTTTCGTTTTTGTTTGTCGTATGCCAATATATGCACATGTATTTGTATATCAAGTTATGACAAGTCATATGCACAAACGTTTCGGCATTGTTTGACAAAGTTCATTAAATGGAAATGCATTTCATTTTGGTGAAAGTGTTGGAATCGAGGCGAGAAGTGTCCTGCGTCTGGCGCAATCCGATGGCATTGCGTTGCGCATATGGCAAGGTGTTGTGAGATTGGATATTCGTCATATTATTCTTTTAAAGTCTGAGCTAGGATTGCAGATGTGTGAATGATAATTGATTTGTTTTGTGATACTATGGCAAATAATTGAATTTGTAGTAAATATGTCATTTAACTTTCAAATCAATTTTTTAGTGTAAATGATTTTATATATAAATCTTGTCCAACTGGTCATCTTCTAATTAATTAGATAATTAATACTATGGTGGCGCGACGACACGCGAAAAAAGACGGTTGATTGTAGCGTTACGGTGGTGTAGTGGATAAGGTCGTCGCGTGCCACGTGGCGGACCCGGGTTCGAATCTCGGTAGGGTTAATGTAGCGTGTAAGGGAAATTATAGGTAATAGGATATATAGTAGTGTTTTTTAGGATCTTGTTTTGATTGAATTTGAATTTACTTTTCGAAGGACCATATGTAAAACACTTAATTGAATAACTGTATATATTTATTTTATAAGTTATAATAGTATTTATAACAAATTTAATATGTTTTGATTATGTATTGATTGAATTGACCTGATTTTTATAATTATCTATTTGATGATTTTTTGTTTTCTATTCGCATAACCGCCTGCTTTGATCGGCGCGAACAAGTAGATATAGGTTAGGTGTATTCGGTATACAATGTAGGGATTTGAGAGTATATAATGAAGTATAGCGTATGGTACAGATGTATGGCGTATAGTATAGAATGCAACGTATAGGCACACATAAGGCTATGAAAATACACAAAAAGGAACCTATGATGTAGGTGTTAGCGTATAAGAAATGCGAATGAATATAAGATTTAATTTATAAATATTATTTTTCTATAAGAAGTTCATACACCTCAATTTGTTACTAAATTAAAAACGACTTTGGTAAAACCAGTGGTGTTGCGCTAATATTTTTTTGCCGGAACACTAAAATTTAAAAACCGGTTCTAAAACCAGTTTTTTCCAGTTCCGTTCGGAAAGGAAAGAAACAAAAATTATCACAAAACCCATTTTGTGCACATATGTATGTTTATTACAATAATAACATTTAATAAAAATTAGTTGAATAATAACGTATAAAATTTACTTATTAAATCATTTTCTGTATGTAGCGATTTTTTTATATTTTTTCTTGCCGGAACGCGTTCCGGCTCTAAAATGATTTGCCGGAACGCGTTCCGGCTCAAAAATGATTTGCCGGAACAACGTTCCGGCGCGTTCCGGCTCGACAACACCAATGCCTATATCTACTTTTCACGTTATTAACGAAGAGTTTGACTCTACATTGATAGATCGTGATGCAGACGTTGTATGCATATATACTTAATATAATTTGCATTTAACTTTCACTTCATGTAATCAAAAAAATCACCAAAAAATATGGAAAATGTTCTCTATAAAACTTGTATCAGCTCTATATCTAGTTTTCACGTTATTGTGTGAAGAGTTTGACTCTACATTGAAAGATCGTGATGCAGATGTTGTATGTATATATATTTAATATAATTTACATTCAAATTTCACTTCATGTAATGAAAAAAATCACCAAAAAATATGAAAAATGTTCTCTATAAAAATTGTATCAGCTCTATATCTAGTTTTCACGATATTTTCTAAAGAGTTTGACTCTACATTGAAAGAACGTGATGCGGGTGTTGCGAAAATGATTGAAAATAAAAGCGATTGCATTCGGTACGGGCGTAGGAATCGACAGATGTTATGTAACGATAGAATATTAATTTGTGATGGACTTATGCGATGACAAGCATAATTGAAATATCCCATAAGCCCTTTATTATTATGGGTTTACGCAATAGAGTTTTAATTTAAGCTCAATGGCTTTTATATATTGCATATAACATTATTCTTATTGTTAGCTTTTATTGTGAGAAAAAAATCACAAATTATTAATTATAAGGTTACCTTATATTATCTTAATTTTTTGTTACTGAATTTTTTACGCAAACTGAATAGGTTCTTATCTTATTTTGTGGCCGTTTTACTAAAAGTATTATAATGGCATTAAATAAGCTTATTTAAATATGTCAATAATTTAAGGTATTTGTAATGTATCTATTATGCACACGTGCTCCTGGCCGGGTGCATCGATGCTGCAACTTCATCTCTCTATGTTTACCAAAATAGTGCAGGTGTGTCAATCCAACCACACGTAAAAGGGTTTATATTTAGGCAACAAACATAATAAAAGGATATGTATATTATTTAATGTCATACAATGCAAATATTATTTATAGGGATACTAAAAGAATTTTGCATTTCGTTTGAAATGAATGATGGCACATTGAGTGGTGAAACATTATTTTTTGCAGCTATACGCAAAACTGGACAAATATTTGCATAACGATAGTCTCGATGAATTGGGGTAATAAAGTATTTTAAGCTGCAAATGGCTTGTCATTCCTAAATTTCAAATAATTCTATTATAGTTTGCTTCTTTTCTCATAGATCTCATCTCCCTAAACATTGGAAGCTGATTTTCCCAAATTCTAACCAGTTTTCAGATCGTTATAACAACTTTTATTTGAATCACTGCACGCCTTATGTTATATAACTAACTACTTTTATACATAGTTATTTCTTCCATCCGTGTTTGTTAGTTTAAACCCGGCTGGCCCAGCATGTGATGGGTGACCGTTCGTGAACTATCTGACCTGTGTCCATCTAGGTACCCATATGTAAAAATCTTTACCCCTTTCCGCGGAGATACCTGATTGTCGTAACTCAACCAGCTTATGTGGACTCGGGATGTAGCACCCTGACATGCTTTCTTCCTTGGAATTGTATGTATGTTTTCCTGTTGTGTCATTAATCACGGCCCGAGGTGCTGACCTCAAGGTCACCGAAGGAAATATTTTTTACGGATGCTTGATATGGATTTATTCACCGACACTTAAATAATTATATTGTTACCAAAATTCTTGTTTGTGAATGGATACATATAGTTCGTTACATATTTTTAGAGTTTTGACATTTATTGTAATACCCGGTACCAGAAACGTAAGTTTAAATGATGAAGTACTAAATTTATTATGTAGCACCAAACATATCATATTTGTGTTAAATTTATAATTAATGAATATCATATAATTTGTTATTTTGTTAATCAAACTAAGATAGAACTCAAACTAAGTACTAATTTTTGTAAAAATTTAATCAATCATTATTAAAAATTTAAATTTTAATTTAAAATACATATCTTTTCCTTATTTTTCGGTTTTCAAATATGAGATTTTTGATTTAACATTTTTTAAAATCTATTTTTAAAAAAGTACATCGTTGACCAGTTTAATCGTGCTTCGTCTGGATATTTTTATTCTCTCTTTTACGCTCATCGAATATTGTCGTTGTCTCTTTCCCTAAAGAATAAATTAATAACAAGTGATGAGATGAGACTGTATTTTGTGAGGGGTTTATTTATTTAAATGGTCACAATACATCCAGGGCTAAACTTGTAAAGTATTATTGTGCATATTATTTGGTAAAACTTTTTGTTTTGGAATTTGTTTGATATTACCACACATAATTTTTATTAAAATAATTTAAAAAAAATTTATTTGATATATTTTAAAAGAGTTTATAATTATTTGATATACTTTAAAGTAGTTTATAAATTAAAATGAATTTGTGTGAAACTTTTATATGACCTCATTTCGAATTATTTATTTAGTTTGTTTTATAATGTATGGCCAATTTAAGTTTTTATTGGCAATCGACCTTCAACAAAATAAACAATATGAGTACTAAGTAATGAATGTATTCAGGAAATATTTTATTCTTTTGTTATTATAAATCAATTCAAATGCAGATGATAAATAAAACACGATCAGATTTCAATTGGTCATTTTATATGTCCAATGTGCGGTCGCATTGCATTTACATGTTTCATATCGTATACAATACGGATCTGCACAAAATGAATCACACCGCTTACGGCGGCGACTCGCCAACGGTCATCGAACTAAAAACTGAGAGAAAAATTGACGTGTCCTTCTTCCCTGCCTCGAATCCTCTGAAGAAGGGTTAGCAAGGATTTTGCCTTGCACGAGACCCCTTTTGTTGTGGGAATTTTTTTTCTGTGATATCTACATAAATTTTCCCGTATTCTTGTCTTCTTCAGAATAGTAGTAGTTTTGCTAGTTTTATTTCCCTTATGTTTTGTCGCGTGTGATTCTGCGTTAGCCAAACAAGTAATGATGCTATTTACATAAGACTTACCCTCAAAGTTTCGGTTTAATGGAATTTGTAAGTTTCCACAATTACTCATATCGTTGCCGGGCAGAACTAGTATTTCTTGTAGCAATAGCATCTTTGATGTCAAATCATAATTTGGGTTATCAAAAATTTGTCCAAAAAAGGGTTAAGTGAAAAGGGTTTTTAATCATTTTTATTGTGAATGGAATAGGTTCGATTAGAAGTAAATTGATTTAATTTTTGGAAATACAATTGTACCAGCGTTTTTTGGTCATTCAGTTTAGTTTTGAAGTCACCGTTAAACGTTATTCTGCAAAAGGGTTTAAAAGCACAAACTGGTAATCATTGAATTAACTGGTAACAGTGGCGACTCTGAATAAAAGATACTTGAAAAAACTAGACTAATCTAGAAAAAGAGCTTATTAATAATTTTTTATTGTAAATAAAATCTACAATCACAACCACAACTTTGGATTAATTGATTATTGTAATAAGCGACCATGCGTTTTTTGATGACCATATGTTTTTAAAAAAATCATGGGTTCATTATAATATTTGTACGAAAATAAATGACACATTTAATATAGTTTCAATTAAGTTTTTCCTTTTGTATTTAGGAATTCAGTTTTTTTAATAGTTGCATCTCATTTGCAGGGTCTTTGCCTCCTAGTCCGGCGGACAGTGGTGTCTCGGACGTGGATTCAAGTAGTTCGGGCGGTGGTGGACAAGGTGGTGTTATAGCCCCACCACCCCCAGGGGCACACAGTGAAGAACTAAAAGCCAGACTAGCACCTTCCTCCCATCAAGCACTGCCAGCCCATTCCCAAAACGGTTTGTATCTATGTCTTTCACTGTATGTGTTTGTAAAATAATATATTTTAAATGCTGATCACATTTTAATTATGAAAACGCATTAACGCATAACTATGATTAATAAGTTATTTCACAAATAAAAATTAGAATGAGATACTTTGATTGTCCCTTAGGCTGACTATTTTGGTCGTATAAAAATATTTTCATAAGAAGTCAATTTAAGCTATTATTAGATTAGCACTTCGGTAATAACCACATCTATAATTATATAATAGTAAACTTTGTTGCCACAAAATAATTTTTTGCAATTAGGTTTCAAATATAACTTTTCTATTCTGATGCGGGGTAAATGATAATTTTTATTTTATTCCATAATATATTATATATAATACATATTATATACATGTTTCTTGTACATTTCAATTTATGCTGAATTACTGGGTATCTGAATTTTGAATAATGATGTTCGATTTCTCAGTATACTTATCATATCGAATAAATTCTAATATCTGCTAATATGCAAATCATATTCAAATGTGGCATTCGAAGTATTGTCGACCTGATGCGCTATCACATATTACATAAACAATTTATCATTCAATAAAGTATATCTAATCATTAATTATTTCCATCAAAATTTCGTCAATTTGACTACAATAGAAATTAATTAAAGATTTATCTGGATTAATCATTTAGAAAAATTATTTTAATAACTAGTATAGATAAGAATACGTCCTAAATATTTTACAGGCAATAAGATGTGTACTGATCGCTATATTTTTAAAAATTGTAATTGTAAAAAATAGTAATAGTAAATAATTCTTTTTTGTTTATTATAAAATGTATTTAAATTTATATGGTGAATTGAGTTTAGTTACCTTTTCATTATAATTATAGGACATGGATTAGTAACATCTCCTACAGGATCTCATCATCATTCACTACAAGGAGCATTTTTACCACCTCAGTTTTACCATCACGCTCCACCCGTTAGAGGTTACCATTACCAGAGGTCAACGTCACAATGTAAGTAGAAAACTTCAACTAATAATTTGTGATAATTATTATATATTTATACTTTAATTTTTAAACGATTTTATATTTTGAAGTTTCGTCAATTTGGCGTATGGTCAACTGTTTTTGGAAAATATTTTTCTCTATATATATATATATATATATATATATATATATATATATATATACACACAATATACACATACATACATACATACACACATCAGCGGTTGTTTATAGAAGTTATAATTATTCGACACTGATTCCTATCCTCCATTTGTTTTTATTTTAACATATGGGTATGTCTGCAAATGGCCCAAATAAGTTTCTTCTCTTCCTTGATCTTTATTATGTAAATATAAATAGAATTTAACCCGTTTCTTTTCTGAATGGTTTGAATAATTTAGTGAGTTAAATGTTTTGTCTATAAGTAAATAATTTGTCGATGTTGAAAAGTTGATTTAAAAAATGTTGAAATTAGTTGCGTTATTAATTTATTCGATTTTTTGACACTTTATATTCTTTATAGTCCCATGAAAAATTAAATATAATCACTTTGTTATGAATAATAAATTTTTAATAAAAATTATGGGGCTAATGGTAACGCTATGTTACGGGCCTATCTTTGTATGAATTGATAGTAACGTACTGTCAAAAAGCTATTTGCTGTGTGATCAGGCATTTTACACATAAAACCTAACCTCCAAAGCGCACAATTGTGAAATAGCAAATTTACAGTAAGTGCAACTTTCTGATGTCTCTTAGATAACACATACGTAAAGTTTTATGTGATCGCACAGTAAACACATAGATTTTGGACAGTTTGTGACTATAAACTCATACGATTATAGACTCGTAACATAGCATTACTATAAGATTCCTATTTTATTTGGGAGTTGGACCCTGTGGAATGATATTGCTAAATATTAGCCCACTAATATTATAAGCTTAAAAGGTAAAATATTTTATAACAAATACAGCTAATTCAAATTTGTGAGAAATTATTAGTATTTCATTGACATATTGCAATGATAGGCGTTTTATGATTTTAACGTATTATTTCGGTAACACAGTTTTTAAGAGAACGGAGCGTTCGATTTTAATAAGTCAAAAAACATTTTACTTGTATTGACAAGATGAAGAACTGATTAAATTTTTGGGAAGGCAGGTCCAGCGGTTATGGACTCTCAATAAAAAAAAGGTTAAAAAAATGTTTATTGGACATATGTACATCGAATTATCAGATATTTTATAGAGATTTTAATAACGTGTACACATATTGTGCAAATTTTTTTGGGTTCGGTACCAAAATTTTTAATTACGTTACGGGAAGTTCCAGCAATTTTTCTAAGGCACGATGCCATGTACATGTACCCCACTAGTTTGAATAAAATCTATTCTATTGATGTCTTTTTACTAGCACTAGTTGAGGTAGCAGTGCCTAATACAGTGCATGTTGGGCTCCAGCGGAAGTCTTTGATTTGATTATACCATCCGGTCACAATCGTATATAAACACGTCATAAATGTATTTTTCTTTCGCCCATGTGTGCGTACGTTCCGTGCTCATTATATGTCCGACCAAACATTCCCTTGTCCATTCAAACAATAATGATTATTGCATTTATGCAGACGATGCCCGGAAGCATGAGCCTCCTAAAAAGAACTAAGTAGACATTTAATGGATTTAATTTTTTTTTTGTTTTACCTCGCATATGAGGTAAAAAGTAATATAAATAGATATCATGTAACATAGCATATATCACATAACTTCATTAAAATTATTTTTTATTATTTTTGCCACATTAGATGTTCATATAGAACAAATTAACCGGCATTACTGAATTGGACGTTCAATGAAATGTGCTATGAATTGGGTAGATTTCACTATGCCCGATTAAAAATAATTAGATTCCAATCAATAATTTTATTATTTATTATTATGTGTAATGTTATGTGATACGCAGTTCCATATGTAATGTATTACACGAATATGACGCTACCGATTCTTAAGTCTCGGTCTCATATCAAAATACCGGTTCGCTTTGTCTGGGCGAGTCGTGGAATCCCAACAAGAATCCGAGCACCTGTGTATATTCCTATACATGTTACGTACATGTGTGAATTATGAAGATGGATATTTTTATACGCACGGGAATTTTCAAACAACAATAATAATATCTCATTGGATTCAAAGAAGATTTTGTAGAACTTGTTTGGTATTTCTAAATCACTTAAAGATTTATTATTGAATACATCAAAGACCTGTCGGGTTAATTAAAATTTGTAACAAATAAAACTTTTCCTTGGCTAACAATTAGTGTGGGTTTATTTGAACAGCGACCAGATCTTGAGGATTCTACGAGCAGTTGTGATAATATACTTAATTAAATATGAGTTTGATTTTTTATAGATGAGATCCCAAATAGTTGTCCCATCTCTCACTTGGAAACATATTGCCTGAACTATATTTCTAAATCCCTATGTCAAACAGTCATTTTCGTATTCGCTAAATTTGTGATGTTTCTGATATATATGCAGTTCGCCAGACTTCCATATGAATGTTTCTTTGTTAGGAAAATTCTGAGATAAATAATTGCACAAGTGTTTTTGAGAATTATGTTAAACTTAATGACAAAATGAGTAGCGATATTTGCTGATGTCGTTGATAAAAGTAAACATAGTTTCACAAAACTGACCTTCTCAACTCGCGCTGTATATAGCCAGACTGTGTTTTGTTCGGTTACTTAACTGAAAATAACTTCGATTTATATTCAGCGTTGAAAAAATACTCGGTTTGTTATACATAGACTGAAGATGCTGCGGCGTATTATGTGTTTGCGTTTCCAAGTGTGCGTTAAAGAGTAAATATATGTGAGGCTGTTGTTTATTGGACTAGGACCAGAAGTCTAGAACTGAATGATAACAAATGAATAGGAGATTAGAAACGCTTTGCATTCAAGGACGTTCAAGGTCGATTATTTGTTTTTGGATGTTCTTCTATCTGGCATTTTCATCGAAAAAGATGAAAATCTTTTTTAGCCGGTATTTAGGAAATAAATACAATATATTGCAATTGATTTCTTTCATTGTGATACATTTTAAATTACTGTCTACAACCTACTTAAACTATTTAAAAAACCCACTGAAAACTTTTGGCATTTCATACTGGACAAATCTTTAAAAATAATTACATAATTTCAATATCTTATTTCCGTTACTTTTATCTTGGAGGCGCTAGGCATTTGTGCAATGAATTTTTCCATTGTTTTTTTCATTTTCACAATTTCTATGATAGAAGATTCTATTTCAATGTGTCGCACTTTCGATTTCGCCGGTCGATCGCTCTCGCGAAGGTCGTAAGCGTCTCGCCGCCGCGTTCCATTACCCGGCACCGGTTGCAATCACTTTCTAACGCGCCAGGAATTTCGGGGAAGATGTTTTGATTCGTCTGGTCTGGTCCATTCAATAGAGTTGGCTGCCAACTTTCCTGTATAATAATCTATAACTGATGCATGGCTCCCAATGTACGCGGTACTATTTTTCCATCTAGTCTAGACACATTTTCCGCGAACGACCTCAGATTGACATTTGCCATTTGCAAGTAACGGGTGAAGAAAATTTCGCTTTTTACCGTAGCATGAAATTCATAAAAACATTTTGTATGTTTCACTTTAAAATTGAAAATATGAAAAGTGAAATTTTTATAGCAATAGAATTTATCTGTTCAATTGAATCATTCATTAAATTGTAGAGATTTTGTGAGTAACTATATTCTTAAGAATTTGTAATAATCGATTTTACTTATACGTTTTTTTATCTAAAGTTGTTACAATTAATAGACGCTATCGTCTGAGAACTAAATATATTGATTCTTTATCGAATAAAATTTGTCTCTAAATCAAGATGAAATCTCATTTTCGTAAATGTCAGTATTTTTATAAAAGTCATAAATAAATTAGATATTTCGACATTTTTTATCATTTATTTTGACGTCTGCGTTTTTGTGTTATCGATCAGCCAACAAAAACTTTCCCTTGCACCTAGCACTCTCACAGATAATGCAATTGATAACTTGTTTACCTATATTGATAAAAGAATTAAATTTATAAATGATAAATGGTATCGATTTAATATTTTCAATTACATACTTTTATCGATTCAATTACATGATACCTTTGTTGCTTTCGTAGACAGAGGGGAATCTGATTGATAATTGGGATAAGGCAAATTCTCTATAATCTTGTTAATTTAGTAAGTTTTTTTACATTCTTAAATTTATTTAATTTAATGAATTTTGAAATTTTATTTGGAATAAACACATTCATATTTTTTATTACTCTGACATGAAAATGCATATACATTATTGTTCTAGAAAGTTAATATCTAGACTTCAAGTCTAATCTTATAATGCATTATCTAGTCCATATATATATACTTTTTTTGATCAACATAGTGATATCTGTTATCGATCTTATATTTGAGACTTTTACATATATTTTTAAGTTAAAAAAATAAGACAGAGAAAATGACAAGATATGTTATCACTGCAGCCGACCTCCAAATTTCGCAGACGGGTCATGTGGTCCAAACGCTCACCTAAAAACGCAATTGCTTGTAAATACAGTGTTTCTTTGACTGTATGCGCGCCCCAACGACGTGTCATTGCTGATTACAAATTGACCAACGATTTACGGATCATTAGGAAAGATTAGGCGGATGTTTTGCATTTGCACTTTATCAATCGATAAAACAGTAAATTGGCGTAATTCATAGGCGTTTTACTTGGTTTTTATCTGTTTCTTTATTTACTTGTATTACCTTATTATTGACAAACTCGATAAAATTTTTGATTGCTGTTTACTTTCTTGATTAATGATGTGCTAAATTTGTTGTTTACTAACTTTGATAATTAATCTATTTAAAATACATTAGGTTTTTTTCCTATATGTAATAAATTATAACATCAAATTAATTTTCAAATTTTTTAGTACTGTAGTTTTTTATATTTCA